TGAATGAAACACAAATTTATGCTTGCCATCAATATAAATATTTTAAGTCATTTTTTTTTTTCATGCAACTGTATTCAGGATACTTCTTTGGAGAAATTTAAAATAAACTATCAAAGACAGAAAGTTATTAGAGGATTTGGGTTGTCTGAGTTTTGCAACAAAATATATTTAGTTTTACTTCCACTTTTACTCTTGACATATTCCAAATTTAGGCAAGAATTGGCTGCTATTTAATTTTACCAATTTGTAATTCCAATCATTCAACACAATGCTCAATATTCAATGGACCAAGCAGTAAAATAGCATAAAAATAAAAAAGATAAATTCACATTGAATTTCATGTCTGCCTATCTTTAGAAAATGCTTATAACTTGCCGTTTTCTATATTTTTGATTTACACAAGTTTTTTTTTTGATAAATGCTTTTATTTAGTAAAGGCTTTGTTTTGTCTTTATGGCTGGTATCTTTTTCTTTTCTTTTTTATGAAGGGTATATGTGCACACAATGTATTTAGGAGAAGTATTTGCACATTGTACTTAATATACTGTGACAAGTGGTTGTGGAGAGGTTCAGATAAGTATGTGTAGAATAAAATCAAGTAAAAGCATATATCAGTGATCTGTAAGTATATTTTTGTAAATTTTGCATCTATTATGAAATTACTGTGCATGAAAATACACATGTTGGATATATGAATGTATGCAGAAAGAGAGAGATACATACAGATACATGCATACATATAAAGATATAGACAGAAATATATAAGTGTACGGTAAATGAAAATTCCTACTTTGACATGTTTCATGAATAGACTGGAATCGTCAGAAAAATAAACCCATTTTGTCTTCATAATGTAGATTTTGTACTTGCAAAATATAATTATTTTTCTGATGATGCTCTAAACCCTGGGTAGGCAATCCCAGCAGCACCATTGGGAACTGTCTGAAAAGTATACCATAGGTTGATTCAAGTCTTCTGTGTAAAACTGGGTAGATTAAACTGTTTGGGAGCCATCAATGGCTGTGCTTCCATGAAGTCACAAATCATTGTGACCAGAGGTTTGACTGGACTCATCTTTTTCAACTGTTAATCACATCTGATTATGTGCTCTTCCCCAGAAACTGTAACTAATGTCTGCCCTGTATAATTGCAGTATAAACCACAGGATGGCTATAGAAGAAACACATATATGACTGAGCAGGTGTCTGCAACAGGAATTACCTAGTTAGCTAACAATCCTAGCACAGATGGGTCTACCAAAAAAATAAGGAGCCAACCATTATATATATATATATATATATATATATGCTTGAAAATTACCTCCAATCAGTTGTTAGTCAGATCAAAGTGGTAACGGATACTGGGTTAAACAATGCTTCCCCTATAAAGGGGTATTCAGGTTCAATCTCTATCAACAAACACATTTCCTTTATTAAGATTTCTTGAATGCATAAAGCAATAGTTGAGTTTCCACTATAATAACATTTGAAGTAATAAAAATGTCAGATTAAAAATAAATCCATTAACTATATATATATATATATATATATATATATATATAAGTTTTGTTAAAGATTACTAACAAGGTATTGTGATTAACATTTTAATTTAATTTTTCTTGAGTAATAACCTCATCCACATGTAAACAATGAATAAAAACAATGGAAACATTAATAATAAAAAAGGAAAAGCAAACACTCAATAACATTATGAACATGGCCAAAATGTGTTGACCATGTTTGAAAAATAAAACATGCCTTTAACTTCAGACAAATACATAAAAAACCTACACATTCAGTTTTAAAATAAAAAATAAAAATCATCCTTGATAATGACTAAAAGAATAGCCAAAAGCACTCAGATATGCAGAACTTTTGGACACATTTTACATACATTGTGTCCAGTAAAGGAAACACTTGTACAACCTCAAGAAAAATTAAATAAAATGATTAATTGCAGTACCTTGTCAGATGTATTTAATGAAACTTGTATAAAAGAGGGATTGCTGTTCAAATACACAATATAATAATCTTATAAATATAAGTATACTCGTCTGGAAAAACCTTAGGTGTTTTGACTTGTAAATGAACAAACCAATACCTAAGGAAAAATAAGGAATAAAAAAAGAAAGAACGAAGAACATGTAATTCAGGCGAAAACAATCAACCAGAACCCAAGCTCAGAGTCCAAAGAAAAAAACCTCTGACACAAGTAAAATAAAAATAACTAAGCAAAGTGCTCAATATGCTAAGTAGAGCAAACTAAGTAAACCTAAAGAGCCAGACAAACCTACCTTTGAATTGAATAAATATGTATTAACCCCTCCTGTTGTTGAGTTATGGTATATTATTTTATTTTATTTTTTTTTGGTCACATGGTTATGTTTTTATGTTGTAGGCTATTTATATTGTTCTAATTTTACCTCTTTGGTCAGCGTAACCTGACGATCCGTGTAGGTGAAACCTAGGTAGGTTTGCCTGGCTCTTTAGGTTCATAGTTATATATATATATATATATATATACATACATAGATACATATATATATTGCATTTCATAACACTAAAAGATAAAAATGCTACAGTAGCAGAGTGCTAAGTGAAAAGTATAAAAATTACAAAGAAACATATGCAATATAAAATATGTGTTTTACTACATTTTTACTGATTCCATTACTGGTAGTTTCTTTGTTTCATATTTACATGTGATTTGAGAGTAAGAGTACAAAATTCAGGCGGTGGGAAAGAAATAGGATGTTTTTCTGAAGCAAACACTAATCGGTTGTTTACTACTGTATATGTATGGAGGAGGAGGGGGATTGGGTAGATGATGATGGAAAAGAGATCAGGCAAGCTTTAACTCTTTATACACCACCTGAAGATTGTGTTACCACCTTAAAAAAATGAGTAGCAGAATAAGTAGAAATCAACTAAAGTACATTATTTTCATATTTTGTGTGTGTGTGTGTGTAACCAAATAGGTAAATATACTGATAAATATTAATATCAGTAGTATTATAAATTACTCTTTTGATTTTCAGAAAAAAATAGTTATCCCCTTGATTTTCCAATATCCCATCTTATGTTTTCAAAATCAGAATCTCTCTAAATTTGAATTTATTTTTCTCATTTCCAACCTCAGATGTTAATTTGGGTCTAAATTCAAATTCAGTATTAAACTACAATTCATTTAAATAATTTAACGACAATAATATTCCACCCCAACAATAAAGTATCTTGCAAGAACCAGAAAATTTTACAAAAAACCCGATGTTAAGCCAAAATAAAAATAAATATTCCACCACTTGAAAATTGCTTTGGCATGAAACTCAGAGTAGTGCAATTAATGTAAGATATTATATAAGATATTATGTGTATGTTCTTTCAGGATGTTGGCAATCATAGCTCTCCACAATTTCCTGTTTTTTTGTAGCCCTTTATTTCTACTATAAATAGATATTGTTGGTAATATTGTTGGTAATTTTACTATAAATATATATTGCTTGTATTTTTATATTTTTACAGTTTTGCATTTTTAGTGGGGTTCACTATTTGTCCATAGCTGGAACCCTAATAGGTGCTACCACCTGGGGATAGGGTGGACCTGGTAACAACAGCAATTAAGAAGTGGTTCCATGCTCCTCAAAACCTTCAATACCCCAATTAGAAGTCCTGCTGCTGAATGTAGTTTACTGCTGAACCAGTGTATATATATATATATATATATATATATATGGGCAGCAATCATTGTTTTATATACATTTCATTAAATATGATAGAAAATATTATTTTCTAAGAATTTATTCAATTTTTCTTATGTCCTCACAATTTCTTTTTCGAGGACTGAGTGCATGGTGAAATTGTCCATTGTGTTTATTGTCACAAACGTGTGTGTGTGTGTGTATATATATATATATATATATATATATATATATATACCCATCATACACCTCATAAACCCACACACACACACACACACATACCAAAAGAAGACATGTCCACATAATTGGACTAGTGATAACAAAATACACTGCCAAGATAATTGAAAACAATTTCTTGTTCAACATTTTCTTTTCTATTTTTTGCCTTTTGAATAACCAATTGCAAATAGCATGTTTTCCTATTGTTGCATCAAGTGGCTAATGTCTGGATCTCTCCTGCCTATTATTCTGCAGACAAAGACTCTGGAGAACCAAAACTCTGGTAAAGTCAACCTTTGGAATACACTTTTATGTATAAGCATTCATCGAATCAACCTTAATAAAATCCCGATTTTTATTAGCAGATAAAAAGAGAGAAAAAACAGAGCTGAAAGTGGTTGCAAATCAACTATAAAATTATGGAACGAAACATAAAAAAAAACAATTCAATTTGTTATATTAAGAGTTAATTGGTAAAGTTGATAAAAATGCTGATTTCTGAAGGTGATGGTGGAAGTAACAATGATTAAGAAGAAAGAAAAATGAAATGAAAAGATTTCATGAAGAATAAAATGAAGAAACAGGAAGGAAAGTAGAGAAAGAAAGAAACTGAGGAAATAAGAGAAAAAGAAGAAAAAATGATAAAGCAAAGAGAATCAACAAACAGGAAAAAGTAAAGAAAAAAAAAAAAGAAGCAAACTTTCTATTCAGACCAACATGTTCATCTTGCTTGTTATACTTACAACATTTCAGCCATTGTAACCTCTGGCCTTCTTCAGGCATCTGTTGTACTCAGTAACCTTCATGGAATTTTGAATGAAATCCTTTATTCCATTGAAAGCATGGGAAGTGGAATCAAGTAGAATGAGGACACTCTACCGTATGGATCAAATAAGGGGCTCAGTTCAAAATTCAGAAGGAGTTACCAAGCACAATGACGACACCTGAAGAATGCCAGAGGGTACGACAGCTGAATCGTTCAGAGAACAACAAAAACGAGCATATTTGCCTGAATAGAAAGGCACATAATAATGATAATTCCTCCTCACAATAATTTCAACAAAGAAGATGCAAAGAAGAAAACGAAAGAAGACACAAAGAAGCAAAAGAAAGAGAAGACAAAGAAGAAAAAGAAAGAGAAGGCAAAGAAAGAGAAGGAAAAATAGAAAAAGAATGGAAAGGCAAAGAAGAAAAGAAAAGATACAAAGAAGAAAAATAATGGAAAAACAGAGAAGAAAGAGAAGGCAAAGAAGAAAAAAATAATAAAATAAAAAGGCAAATAGAATGAAAAAAGCAAAAAAGAAAAAAACAATAAAAGAGACAGTGAGAAAAATAAATAACTAAAAAAAATAGAGGAAAATGTAAAAAGAGACAAAAAAGGGAAAAAAACAGAAGAAAAAAGAAATAAAAAAAAACAGACATAACAAATAGAAAAATATAATTAAATGAAGAGAGATAAACAGAAAGAAAGTAAGAAATAAGAAAAGTCCAAAGAGTAAAGAAACAAATCAAGTAGAAATCCTAAGAATGATAGAATATTTGGATGAAGAATGAAATTGTCATACAAATGCAAATCAAACATTTTTAAGAGAAAACCCATTATGATATGCTAATTACTAAAAATGTGTAAAAGACCTACTTTATATTTAGATGCTAAATATATTTATTTTAAGTATGTTAATTTAAAATCTGAAAATATTTTATTCCAGTGAAAATCATACTAAAATAGCATATTTCTATCGGCACCATAGCAAAGTATGTCATTAATAATTAAAAATCTTCCTTCAATAATTAAATCTTTTTTAAATTAACTCAAAGGAATTAATGATTAAATTCTAAGCAACGTGCACTGAAATAGCCTGCAAGAAATTCAAATATCCAACTCTAACAACACAATTGAACATTCTTCATAGTTTTATTCCTTAAGAATATATTTTTTAAAAAATGCATGAAAAGGTTAAATTAAAATATTCCCATCATTTCACTGAATGACCTTTTCAATATTATGTTCAGTAGAATCATCAGGAAATAGTTTATATTCCTATTACATGGGTATTGAAAATTTTACAAGTACAAACACAAATCATTATATAGATATCAAGCTTTAAAATATATTATCAACTAGGAATATAAGCTGGGATATCGCTTTGAATTTATTAAGCAAATACATAAAAAATATCACTATTTACATTATTCAGACTATTGCCCTCATCTTTGTTGCCATATTTATTACAATATTTCGGCTGTTGTACACACTGGCCTTCTTCAGGTGGTTGGAATGTCAAACTGAACCCTTTTTTTCACACACTGGAGTAGACTGTTCAAGTTCCATGAGCCATGTTTAATGGATGTCAGTTATCAGTTATTTCCTGTTAATTCACCTCTCCAAATTCTCCACTGCCTTAACTGGGTAGTGAACTCACTCTCTTTGGATCCTGTCACTGGATCTAACAAAGAGTATGAGTTCAATACCCGGTTAAGGCAGTGGAGAACTTGGAGAGGGGAATTAATAGGAGATAACTGATAACTGACATCCATTAAACATGGAAATAGAACAGTCTACCCCAGTGAGAAAAATAAAAGGTTCATTGTGACATTCCAACCACCTGAAGAAGGCCGGAGCGTACAATGACTGAAACGTTGTAATAAATATGGTGACAAAGATGAGGACAGTAGTCCGAATAATGTAAATAGTGTACATAATACCTCATCTCAGAAATATAGACAAATAATAAAGAATATCATTCATGCTAAGGTTTCAGATATCCTAACAGCAAATATAAACAAGATATTGGAAGTAAGTAAAAATTTCAAAAAATATTCAACCTATACAGCATGGCAATTCTGAGAATTAGAAGTTTTACCAAGATTTATCATTGGTAGCCACAATCTTAACATAAGATACGTAGATGACAGTATTGATAGCAGACATGGAAAGAAAACTACAAAAGCTCTGACAGAAGATAGTGAATGAAAGCAAGAAGAAAGGATTAAACATCAATTGCAAGAAATTAGTATTCACAGTTGTCAGCAAAATAATGAGCCCAAAATGTAAATTACAAATAAGAGATACCAAAATGATATAAGTACAATCATTTAAATATCTGGGAAGTGTTCTAAGAGAGGATGGAAAGTGTGACAATGAAATTCAAAGATGCATTCCAAAGCTAAGCAGAGTATTAAGAGACAGAAAAACTTCATTAGAAACAAAGAAATGAGAACTGTGATGTGATATCTGTCCTCCTATATTGGCAGTGAATGCAGGACAGTCTTCTCAAAGATGAAGAAGAGACTGGAAGCAACAGAAATGTTGTTCTACAGAAGGATGCTGATGATACCATGGACTGAATATTGTGAGCAACAACAAAGTTTTAGAGCAAATGGAAACAAAAAGGAAACATACTTAATATCAAGAAGAGAGAGTTGAAATTTCTGGGGCACATAATGAGGAAAGAGAGCTTGGCAAATTTGATACTCATAGGACAGGCTGAGGGCAAGAGGGACAGAGAAAAAGAATGCTTAATATACTTAATGAGCTTGAATAAATGGATGGTAGAACAGGGTTTATGAGAAATAAAACGAAGACAAAATTTATTAAGAGCTACAAAGAATAGGAAATTGTGGAGAACAATGACCACCTCTATCCCGAAAGGACACAACACATAAAGAACAACATGCATAACATTTTTTTTTTCAAATAACATGGATTGTACATTTGCTTTAAAGTAACATGCATTACACAAGTTTCATAAAGTAATATGCACTATATATTATGTTTAAAGTAACATGGGTCATATATTTACTTTAAAGTAACATGTTACATTTATTCTAGAGATGATGTGAATAAATATTCAAGTACTTTGAGTGAACCAAATATTGATGATTCACATGTGTTCAAAACTGCTTATAACTTTCATTTTAATATTATTCAATAGATAAGGCTTTTTTGGTGAAAGGATTCCAGTCACCAGAAAATCGACACATCATGGGAATAAATGCTAAAGTATTTACTTGAACTGACGTTCTTCCTTTTCTTGTTTGTTAATCAACAAGCCAATGTTTTTTTCAGAAAGGCTTTCATCCTTTATAGTTGAACACTCTTTGATCAACAAGCATATATACAAACCGATGTGTGTGTGTGTATATATATATATATATATATGTGTGTGTGTGTGTGTGTATGTATGTATGTATAAATTATACTGCATATTCAAGATGTATCAGGTAATTTTTCCATGTTCTATATTGTAAATATTCCTTATTTAAAACAAACTTTTGATAACAATAACAATATTTTTACAATGCTCAAATCAAATAAATATGGATGAATTTTAATAAGAGTATCACTCAAAATGAAAGAAATATTTTTTCATTCATATTCAATATACATTTTTCAACAATGTTATTCTTTACTTATTTCTTCATACTTGCCAAATTTCTAACAATAGAATATAAGCAGATATAACATCTATAAAATGAATTTTCTACAACACTGAACTAAAAAAAAAAGGATTAATATTCTCAAAACTTAAAAAAACATATCTATTTTCAATATGATTCATGATAAAAATCTCAATCCTTCATACACAAATATACAAATTTTGACATATGTCTTGCTTTTCTTCTTCAGTTTTGGCAATGAATTTTCAAAACTTAAAAATTCTATTACATTCTGAAAGCCTCAGCTGTACAAGAAATGCAATCAACTGTGACATGATGAATATTTTAATGGAATAATTTTGGTTGGGATCTCGGTTGTATTTATTCAAATATACAGTCATACTGAAAATTGGTTAAGCCTAAAGCAGACTTGCAGGGCATCATCAAATTTCATCAACGTTGCAGAACAGTTTAAGAGAATTAAATAATAAAAAAATATATAAAACCTACAAATGAAACAAAGAAAACAAAACTTTATTTCCCACTGTTTTATTGTTAATAAAACTGGGCAACAAAGATTTTGCTACTGGGCAGAAAAGCATGTGTTTTACATTAAATCGAGTACATCAATTCTAAATCCATACTCAGATGTCTTCTAGTACATCAGGATTTTGCAACATGTGCATGATTGTGGAGATCTTATTTCATATTAATTACACTCTTACTCATCATATGTGAGCAAATTATGATTCTCAACAGCATCCTGCATTTTCTCAGTCTAAGAAATAATCGCTCTTTTACAACTCCTATCAGCTTTTTTGTAGTATTTCTACCACTGTCCATTTGGTACATCAATGAAAAAACAATTTCTTTGGCACATTTATCAAAGTAAACTTCTTTGTTAATGGACTTAATTATACACTGAAAATAAAAATTCAGGCTACAAATATATTGATTCACCCTTGAATATACATTGGTACATCAATATTTTGTTGAAAAAATAATTCATTTTACACATTTTCCAACCTAATCTTCCTTGAAAATGCAGTTAATTGAGTAGAGTATACTGATCACACAGACTGAACATTATACATTGAAAATTTCAGATCCAAATTCAACTACAAATATAGTGATCCACCCATGTACAGATATAGGTAGATTGTTAAGTTCATAAGCTAAGTATAAAAAAGCATTTATTGTGCACGACAGTTATTCAGGTTTCAACAAAATCCTTTACCTTGTTAATGTACTATTCAATGGTGAATATCAATAACACAGATTATACAGTAAAAATATCATATCAAAATTCAGACTAAAGATTCATTGCTCTCCCTGTGTACACATAGTCATTAATCTTTGTGATATTAAGCACATTTCTTATTATTTTATAAGGATTAATTAAATATATAATAATTGTAATTAATTATATTCTTATTTAAGTTTATGAACTGATATTCTTAATAAACCAGTTAAGTAAACAAAAGAAGCAAAAGAAAACTCTGAATTCTAAAGCATAGAGGAAACCACTCCACTATCTTTCCTAAGAAAGCATGGCAATTCATAGATAATAAAGAAATGGTATCTCTAGAGAAAGTGACAGGAAACCACTCACTATCTTTTCCAAGGAGACATGGCAATTTACAGATAATAAAAAAAAGGAATCTGTAGAGAAGGCAATGGGAAGCCACTCCACTATCTTTTCCAAGAAGGTATGGCACTTCATAGATAATAAAAAGGTATCTGTAGGAAACCACTTTACTATCTTTTCCAAGAAGGCACTGCCAATTCACAGATAATAAAGAAAAGGAATCTATGAAGAGTCATGATTGCCTACATTATTTTAAAAAAATGAATTATTGCTTTTTAACTCAAATCAGATAATGGCACAATCATATTAGTAACATAAATTAAGAATTCTCCCATTAAAAATATATGTACAGTTTGAAGAATTATACTATTTAAAGACATTATTCATTCTCAAACCTGGTCTTATGTTCCATTATCCCCATTGCAGTGGTATTGATGTATTCAGAAACCAATTA